AAATAGATTAGGAGGTAACGCGCATTTGCTGTCATCAACTCCATAACCTAACTTATGACTTGGCCTGCTCACTCTGCTTTCCCCTCCGTTACAAGGAACGCCCTTTCTCCTCTCCAAGGCCAGCATCTCCTTAGAGATTCTGTGCTCCCTCCTCTCTTCCTTTCCCAGGACTGTGCTTCTACATGGATTGTTTCCCTCTTACGTCAGCAGTTTCTATTTACTGGGTTATTCTGATACACACACACACACACACACACACACGTCTTAATATCAACCGCTATTTTTGAAGAAGATGCTTTCCTCTATTCCTGTCCCCCTCCAGCACCATATCCCTCCACCCCCTCCACAAGAAACCTCCTAAAAGAGTTGTGATCCTCACTTTCCACTCTTTGACTCCTGTTCCCACCTCCATCCACACCACCTGGGTCTCCATTCCCACCTCACCTCTAACACTGCAGTGAGGACCCACAAGGACCTGCACTGCTCCAAACCCCACGGCCAGTTCTCTGCTCTGTTTCCCTGCCCCTCCCCACGCCCACCCTCTGGCGCATAAGCTCCTGGGGAACAGGAATTTTGTCCTGCCCGCTGCTGTGACCCGGATCCTGGACAGGGCAGACTCCCAGCAGGTGACAACGGTGTGTTCACTGCTGGCTTTCCTGCATCTCTCCCTCCTCAAATAGACAGGAGAAATCATGGCACAGGCTACACCAAGTTGTTTCTCCTCCCTCCAAGCCTTTATCCTGCTTCTCAGCCTAGAAAAATCCCTGTTTTTCTGGACTCAGTTTGAAATCTAGACACCAGAAGGTTCTGAGCTCAGACAACAGTAGCATTAATGGAGTCATATTTGCTGAGTAGTATTTATGCCATGCCCTTGGCTTTTATCAATGAATTGAAGGAGAAATTGCCGTATAAAATCTCCTATTACATTTGGTATGCTAGCATTACAGGGGGCATTTTTTTTCTATTATGGTTCTCAGTGGCACTCATAAAACTCTTACTTGAAACTTTTATTTTAGAACATAGCTTGAAGAAGCACTTATTTTCCCCTCGATGAACTGGTTATAACAACAAACATTATGTGATTGCCCACGACTCTGTCTTCTCTCTGACTACCCGAGAGCTCAGAGCAAAGTCAGATATCAAAGTATGGTGGAATTAAACTGTTCCTTGGGGACTAAATTTATTTTTCCTCTGGTTTTGATTTCTGTATGATATTTACATTTGCTTTGGTCCTGATCTACCATTTGTGTTTTATCACTGCATTAATGTATTCATTGTTGGTGTCAGCTGGCCCCGCCTCTTTTGGAAGGGGGTGGGACAGACAGAAAGAATAGAGCGATACTGTCTCAGTGATGTCGCTGGCTCCAGGCTGATGGACGGTGTCCTTCATGCTCCCAGAAGACTGTCCTCATCAAGCACAGCTCTCTTCACATGATCAAATACTGTAGTTAAGGATGTGCTGATGGTTCAGTTACTGGGTCCACCAAACTCTGTGGTCTTGGAAAACCACCTCTGGGGTTTAGCTGTGGAATGAGGATCCTGTTGACCCCATGCAACGCAGATTGGGTCTTGAGCCCAGGTGGACTGGCCTCAAATGTGGCCAAAACCCAGACTGGGACTTGAACTGACAGTGTTTTAACTGAGATCACACCTGGTCTCAGGACTTAATAAGGCTCAGGTTCCTGCCATCTCATTTCAGAAAGATTTCAGTGAGAGACAAAGTGATAGGTGAGAAGTGGATTTCTTTAGGGAGAAACACACTTCACAGAGTGTGGGCTGTTGGAGAAGGTGAGAATGGCCCCAGGGTGTGGGGTTGTCAGTTTTTATAGGGTAATTTCATAGGCTAGCAAGTGGGAGGAATATTTCACAGCTTTGGGGAAGGGGTGGGAATTTCCAAGAATGAGGCCACTGCCTGCTTTCTTACCTTTATGGTTGGCCTTGGAAAGGTCATGGCACCTCTGGGTGTGTGATTTAGTGTGCTCATGTGCTATAATGAGGCTTCCCAGGGGGCACAGTGGTAAATAATCTGCCGGCCAGTGCAGGAGATCCAAGAGGCTCGGGTTCGATCCCTGGTTCAGGAAGATCTCCTGGAGAAGGAAATGACAGCCCACTCCAGTATTCTTGCCTGGAAAATTCCATGGAGAGAGGAGCCTGGCATGCTACGGTCCATGGGGTCATAAAGAATCAAACACGACTGAGCGCAAACACACTGTATCTATGAGTGTGTATTGAGACTCAAGGTCTAGTGGAAGTCAACTCATTCAATGTGTCCGTCATTTTGGAATTATTTAAAGTAAGTGTTAGTTGCTCAGTTGTGCCCCACTCTTTGTGATCCCACAAACTAAAGCCCACCAGGCTCCTCTGTCCATGAGATTTTCCAGGCAAGGATACTAGAGTGGGTTGACATTTCCTTCTCCAAGGGATCTTCCCAACTCAGGGATCAAACCCGGGTCTCCTGCACTGCAGGCAAATTCTTTACCAACTGAGCTACCAGGGAAGCCCTGGAATTATTTGGTTCTCAACAATTTATGTAATGTCCTTGAGCTATATTATTCTTTTTAGGGGTTGTTCCCTGCCCCCTTCCCTCCTGTTTCACTGATGATACCTAATATGAAACACTCAGTAAAGTTACTGGTTATTTTTGCTGTGATTTTGTTATAGTTACTTATGTGTTTGACTCTCCTGATGTGTCCTAAGCGCCTTTAGGGTAGGGACTTTGTCTTATTTATTTGTAATACATACTGTAGTGCCTGGGGTGTTCAATAAATATTCATAGAAATGATTTAGACTGAAATCAGACTCTGATTCAGGATTGTAGGGGATTAGGAGGTGAATTTAGAAAGCCACTATAGGAATAGATTTTGGAAGGCTTTAAAAACCAAGTCACATTGAAATCATGCAATGCAGAATGGGACTTGAACCCACATGGCCAGGGCTCAAACCTGCTCTTCTCCAGGTCAAACCTCAGATTGGGACTCAAACCCCTAATCTTTCAATTCATTCACTCACTTGGTGTCTGGACTTACTGAGGCTTAGGATCTTTGGGTCTCAGCACAAAGGAGTTCACTGAGAGGCACAGAGATAGGCAAGAAATAGATTTATTAATACAGGATGCTTGTGAGATAGGCAAGTGGGCATATGGGGGCTCAGCCCTGAGACAGAAGTGAGCTACAACTTTATAGTCAAAGGAAAATGGCGAGAAGAAAAGACCACCATCTTTGAGAAGACGTGTGGCTTATATCACTAGTTCCTCCTTCATACCTCGCAGGAGAGTGTCTGACCCTCTGAAGTCAAACTAGGATTATGATAGCACTTACTTAAATCAGTGGAAGGGTGGTGACAGTTTTCTTCCACCTAATGACCTGGGGCATATCTCATGCATGCTTTTATTTATGGTTTTATAAAGCAGGTTAAGCAAGCCTGCTTCCTTCCATGATATTCTGATAGCCTTCTTGAGCGATCATTAACTTACAGTGGTTTCCCAAAGTTCCCCAGGTTTCCTTCTCTATCTACAGTCCCCTCCTGGGACTTCTACAGCTAGTGGTTCAGTCATGTCCGACTCTTTGCAACCTCCTGGAGTGTAGCCCACCAGGCTCCTCTGTCCGCAGACGTCTTCAGGCAAGAATACTGGAGTGGGTTGCCATTCCCTTCTCCAGGGAATCTTTCCCACCCAGGGACAGAACCCAGGTCTCCTGCGCTGCAGGCAGATTCTTTACCTCTGAGCCACCAGGGAAGCCCAGATGCCTGTATAACTATCCTATTCCATCCGTATCAACATTTCCATTTACGTTTCAGGAAGCAAGATCCACAGATGGTCTTTGAAACCCTGGTAGGAAAATGCAGTTTACTAATGAAGACTAATCTAACAACGGGTGTGCCTATCTGGTTACTCACAGGGTGGATGGGATCCCCAGGAAAAAGATCTATAGCCCTTCTTGTCCACGAGTTCCCCGTGGTGGTTCCGGGGGTCCCTTTGTTGTGGCGCTAAACTTATCCGCAGGGTCTTGGCTGGAGTGAACTAAAGTGATGTAATTCTTTCCCCAGTGGCATCACAGATCTGCCTCTGGAGGTTGGAGGGCGTCTGGCAGGGGCCAGGGCAGTGGACAGGCTTGTAAAGCAGTGCCTCCCTCAAATGGACTGTACGCTGATGAAATCATCTCCTGGGGCAATGCCGAGGGAGAGGAGAGGCAGCTCGGGAGGAAGGGTAAAGTCAAGTCACCCAGCCCTGAAGGAGGGCGGGGGCGCCCCACGGCGAGGGCCGTAGGTCCGGGTGTCCGGGAGGCCTTTTCATCCGCTGAGGTGCTTCTGCCTTGGAACTGGTTCCTTGGAGTTATTGCCGGGCCTCTGGGATCTGACTCCTGTGGGCGGGGTGGTGGGGTCGGGGATTGGTGGGGGGGACACGGACGGGGTGTGCACAGATGAGCCGAAGGATGACGGACTAACCGGCTAACGTTGGGCTCCGGAGGGCTGGTGACGAGCGCCCGGGCGGTTTGGAGGAAGAAGGGAAAACCTGAGGCAGAATGAGATGGTGGGGGTCAGCGCCTCCTCCCCACCCGGTGGTTCTCAGGTGGTCTGGAGGCCCGAGGAGACCCACGCCCGCACCTCACCTCGTCTCCTCCCCTCCCCCACCCTCATCACCCCCATCACCCCATCCCCTCCCCCTTCCCCACCCCCCGCCCCCATTACCCCCATCGCCTCCCCTCTCCCCTCCCCGCCCCCATTACCCCCATCCTATCCCCTCTCTCGCCCCCTCCCCGCCCCCATCACCCCCATCCCATCCCCTCCCCCCTCCCCGCCCCCATCACCCCCATCCCTTCTCCTACCTTCCCTCCTCCGCCCCTTCCGCCCCTTCCCCTCCCCTTCCCTCCCCGTGCCCATCACCCCTCCACCCCCTGCCCTCTCCTCTCCTCCCCGCGCCCCAATCCCCTTTTCTCCCTTCCTGCCCCGCCTCCATCCCCTCCCCACCCTCCGCCGCCTCCATCCCCTTTTCTCTTCCCCACCCTCCCCCGCGCCTCTCCGATCAGCTCCGGGTTCTGTCTCCGAGCTCCTGCCCTCCCGGCGCGCCGGCTCCCCGCGCCCCAAGGCCCTCCGCACGCGGCCACCTTCGTGAGGACGAGCGGCGGGTCCCGCGGCGCGCGTTGGGGCCGGGCTCGCTGCACGACTCCCGGCGAGGCGCCCCGGTGGCGGCGGGTTAGCTTCCGCCGGCCACCGCCCCCCTCGCTGCGGCCGGCCGTGGCCGTCACCGTCGCCAGCACCGCCGTCTCCTTCGCCCGGCGCCCGCACCGTTGCCCGCGGGGCGCCTTCCTCATCTCCTTCCCTTTTTCTCCCGCGGCCCCCAGGCTTTTGCCTGCACCCCAACGACTCCTACCCAAATGGAAGGGCCCCCTTCCAGTTCTAGATCCACCTACGCTCCCCGCCCCGCCGCGTCCTGCTTCCATCGCAGTAAGCAGGGGGCACGCTCCAGAGTCACCCCGGTGAGAAATCCACGGAGACGCGCCCACTGGTACCACCACTTGAGAACACGCAGAGCTGGCGGCGGCGCGGGAGGGGCGCCCACCCCTGACCTTAAGGAAGCTTGCATACACTGAGCCACATCCTCCCCATCGAGCGGGCCTGGTTGCTGGAAGGATTGTGGGTCAGTTCAGTTCAGATCAGTCACTCAGTCGTCATGGACTGCAGCACGCCAGGCCTCCCTGTCCATCACCAACTCCTGGAGTCCACTCAAACTCATGTCCATTGAGCCCGTGATGCCATCCAACCATCTCATCCTCTGTCGTCCCCTTCTTCCACCTTCAATGTTTCCCAGCATCAGGGTCTTTTCCGAGGAGTCAGTTCTTCACCTCAGGTGGCCAAAGTATCAGAGTTTCAGCTTCAGCATCAGTCCTTCCAATAAATATTCAGGACTGATTTCCTTTAGGATGGACTGGTTGGATCTCCTTGCAGTCCAAGGGAATCTCGAGTCTTCTACAACACCACAGTTCAAAAGCATCCATTCTTCGGCACTCAGCTTTCTTTATGGTCCAGTTCTCACATCCATACATGACCTCTGGAAAAACCATAGCTTTGACTAGATGGACCTTTGTGGTCAGAGTTCTATATTCACGTAGTCTGGCGAGGATCCCTTTGTATACTGGCTCCCACCTCTCATCTGCTTCTGCTTCCTCTGACCACAGACAGGCACACACAGCTTCCCAAGCGGAAGCTGTCAGTGGAAGTTCTCAGTAAGCCCCCTATACTAAATAAAGGACTTCCCAGGTGGCGCTGGCGGTAAAGAACCCACAGGCCAACACAGAAATACAAGAGAGTGGGGCTCCATTCGTGGATTGAGAAGATCCCCTGGAGGAGGGCATGGCAACCCACCCAGTGTTCTTGCCTGGAGAATTTCATGGACAGATGAGCCTGGAGGGCTATGGTCCATAGCGTCGCAAAGAGTTGGACACGGCTGAAGCGACTTAGCTCGCACGCATTCTAAATAAGGGCCAGCATTTTCCTAAGAGAGAAAGCTTCGGGCTGTAGGTGTGTGCCCAGGGCTATATCTCCTGGGCCTTCAGCTCTGTAATGCGCATGGGAGCTGAACTCTCAGATTTTAGAATTGTGAACACAGCACCCCACCCCCTCTTTAGTTGTGTTGCAGTGCAGACACCCAGAGGTTATAGAAATGTGTACTGTCCACAGAGTCATCATCTTCTCACGAATGTCAACTAAAAACCGCACACCAGGCTCCCTGCTCCACGAGTTGGACAAGACAGGGTGTGGTGGACGTTTTGTGGCCTCCAGTTTGAATCAGATTCTCCAATATGAATCAGATTCTGTATTCAGCAAGCCTGCCAGTGTCATGTTTGCTATGGTCTGCTTCTGTGCCCGAGTTTTCCCCGGGGGTGAGATGTGCGGATGCCCTTCTGCTCGGAGCTTTGGAGCATCTTGTGAAGCCCGCTAGCAGTGAAAGTGAGCTTCTGTCTCCATCTGCTCACCCCCTGTGTCTAGTTAACAGCCACTGAATGGTCAACTGCTGATTCACTGGATGCTCTTTAGTTTGTTCTGTCAGCTGTTTATTCATCTGTAACTTCCTGTTAAGATGCAGGGTGTGCTTTTTAAAGAAGCCTTGCACAGCATAAGTTTTATTTTGGGACTGGGTGTGCTAATATATAAAGAGGATCTCCGGGAGTTATTTAGCTCCGTGGGCTATTTTCTTTCAGCAAAATTTTGTGGGCACTCCCTGGGTGCCAGGCGTGGTTCAGGATACCAGTGGTGCAGCAGTGAATGAGACTGTCTCAGCTTCCAGAAGCTTGACGTCCCCTCCTGCGAGACGCGCGTAAGTGTGAGTGCAGTGAAGTGTGGTACATGTGCAAGGCGTGCGGTGGTACATGTGCAAGGCGTGCAGGGCTGGAAACTCCCAGGAAGCAAACTGAGGGAGTCCCCACGACAGAGGCTCTGGCAGGGGATTTAGCAACATTTCAGCTGCGGGTGGTAGTGGTTTTTGTAGTCAGTCAGTCATTTCCAACTCCTGTGACCCCATGGACTGGAGCCCGCCAGGCTCCTCTGTCCGTGGGATTCCAAGGCAAGAATACCGCCGTGGGTTGCCATTTCCTTCTCCAGGGGATCTTCCCGACACAAGGACTGAACCCGGGGTCTCCTGCATGGCAGGTGGATTCTTTACTGCTGAGCCAGCAGGGAAGTCTGGTGGTCACATGACAAAGATGTCCCGTGTGCTGACAATGTGAGGGGAAGAGCTTGAACGTACGAACGTTACTCGAGAGCTATTTAAGAGGCTGTTGCAATGATTTAAGCAAGCAATGCTAAGGGCCTAACTGAAGATAGAGGGGATGCCGTGGAGATCTGAGAATTTCTGCAACAGGAGGGGATGGTGGGAGGTGAAGAGGAGTTTGAGGAGGCTTTTGTTTCGGGTCCTCCGTTAACAGTGTTGCCAAATCGAAGAATGGAAGAGAAAGAGAAGCGGTATGCCGAGTGAGGGCAGTGGAGACGGGCTCACTTTCCAACCAGTTGCAATTTGCCGAGAAATCCAGCTTTGCAGTTTGAGAAAGAAACTTGGGCTGGAAATGCAGATGTGAGCCACACCGAACACTTTGGAGTGTGATTCTAGTGAGAACAGATTGTGTTTTCTGTTTGTGGTGTTTGACAGATGACCAGCCCTTCAACAGTATATGGTGTTTATTTTAAAATGTAGTTGTGGGGTAAAACGTAAGTGGATTCCAGATTACAACTTTTTTCTTTAATGGTGTCAGTTTTTCTGGTAGGGGTTCAGCATATCAGGAGGAGATGAGGGCAGTACAAACTGGACACAGTCTACAAAATGAACTTCAGGGTGTTAACAATGACGTTAGAAGTGGTACTTGCCTTTTCAGGATTGTAGTTGCTCAGTCGTGCAGCCCCATGGGCTGCAGTCTGCCAGACTTTTCTGTTTGTGAATTCTCCAGGCAAGAAGACTGGAGTGGGTTGTCATTCCCGTCTCCAGGGGATCTTCCCGACCCAGGGATCGAACCCAAGTCTCCCACATTGTTGGCAGATTCTTTACCATCTGAGCCACCAGGAAAACCCTTTTAGAATTAGAGATTTAATCTTCACTCTACAGCTTTCCAAGGTCAAATGCAATATGCAGTTTTCCATAGTTCACCAGAGTTGTTTTTTTTAATTTTCAGGATTAGAGATTTAAAAAACACTCTGATGAACTAGGGGAAACTGTATATTGCATTTGATCTTGCAGTGCTGTACAGTGAAGTTTCTTTCTAAAGGTGCTGTACTAGTTCCTGAGAAGCTGGTGGAAATGTGTCCTTAACCATACAAAGTAGAATTTTAAAGCACAACTTGTACTAAAATCGTCCTTTATATCCAAGAATCTAGCTTAACCCCAACCTTAACTCCAACCCTAACCTGTTTCCTTAACCCTAAGCCTAGTTCCAACCCCCAGCCTGCATGTCACACTAACACTAACTCTGGCCTGATTCTGCATCTGCGCATCTAAACCGAGTCCTCACCCAAAGCAGAACTTTCACTCTGATGCTAATCACACCCTAGTCGTAACCTGAACCCTAAACCCAAATGCAGTGCTAACCCTTAACTCTAACCTAAACCCCATTTCCTGTTACTAACCCTAACCTTTACCCTAGACCTGGCTTTTTTAGGGGTGGAACTATTAGGGGAAACTGTGCTTAGGTCTCTAGAAACTAGATAATCAAAGCTGAGGAATGAATTTCAGACTAAATGAGTAATTTACAAGCAGATCGTCAGTGAACCATCTTTCGTGATTAGGTTCCCTGACCTTTCTGATAAACATATCCACGGTCTGGTCTGGTTCCTGGATGTCCACAGAACTTCCTTGCCTCTGCTCTTTGATTTCACTAAGTGCTTTACTAAATAAGGGTTACTGTGAAAATGCAGTGAAAGTCTCTGGGAGGCAAGATCCAAATGAGAGCACATTTCCAGACTCACAAAGGTGGATGCTACCCTTGACCCGCGTCTTCTAGGACTCCTCCCCAAAGTGTGAGGCTTTCCTACTCCAAAAGACTGACAGAAGGCTGGGACTCTTAAGTCTCATGTGATTCGAATCCAACTGGAACTCGAGGATTAGGCCAGCAGTCTGACAAGGACATGCCGTGTTGGACTCCGGGGGTTATGGAGGTGAGGCAAGGGACCGCACGGAGTTCAGGCCTTTATAGCCACGCTGAGGGAAAGGGGTCACCGTGCAGGGAACAGGGAGAGTCTGACGGGACAGGGTGTAGTCACTGCTAGTCTGCCCGGTGCAGACCTGGATACTGAACTGCTTCAGAGAGTGGATGGTGGTGGTGGTTGTTTAGTCGCTAACCTGTGTCCAGCTCTTGTGACCCCACGGACTGCAGCACGCCAGGCTTCCTTCCCTGTCCTTCCCCATCTCCCGGACCTTGCCAAGTTCATGTCCATTGTGTCGGTGATGCCATCCAGCCATCTCATCCTCTTTCACCCTCTTCTTCTTCTGCCTTCAGTCTTTCTCAGCATCAGGGCATTTTCCAATCAGTCATCTGTTTGCATCAGGTGGCCAAAGTATTGAAGCTTCCGTTTCTCATTTGCATAGCACATAGTTGCTCACTAAACCTTTATGACTCACATTCCGTCCTTCTTAGGACTCTGGGAGGCTGATGAAAGGCAGGTATTAGTATAACAATTTACCTTTACATATGCAGAAGTGACTCAGAAAAGTTGACTCCCCTTGCCCCAAATCTCCCAGCAAAATTAGCAAAGCAAAGCTTTGAACTCAAGTTGGCCAACTTCAAATTCAATGGGAGGCTCGCTCTATTTCATGGATTAAATGAGACCTGAGCTGGGCCTTAGAAGTAGAATTTGAAGAGAAGAATATTCTGCTTGGGGTACAGATTACAAGGAGGTGGCAGGAAGCCAGGAGTGGGGTGGTGAGCAGAAAAGGAAGTGGGCAGTGAGTGAGGAGGACTGGAAGGGAGAGTGAGCTTTGAGAGCTGGGCAGAGTTCTTGTTTCATGTAGGGCTTCACAGGCTTGTTGGGTGAGTGGCTTAAAGGAAGACCCATCAGGCAGTGGTGTATGTGTGGGGGGTCAGAACAATGGGGTCCAGGGGCAGGAGGCCCATCTAGGGGGCTTTGGGGTGTAGCTACAAGGAAGCGGTTGGAACCGGGTGGCAAGTGCTGGTATACAATGAAAACAAATGGGTTTAAAAAAAGACAGTTCAAAAGGACAGCTTTACTGTTAGAGCATGAGATATGGAGAAAGTGAAAAAAAAAAATCAGAGTCTGCATTTCAGACAACTAGTTATGTGGCCTCAGGCAAGTGATAGAATCTGTCCGGGCCCCGCAGCTGAAGGAAGTGTGAAGGCAGCTCTCACCTCAGAGGGGACTGGGGCATGTGTGGACAGGGAAGGACTGGCTTGATGGCTTTTTGCTATTGCTCTTGTTTTTAATATTTATTTATTTGGCCAGTTTATTTATTTATTTTGCAAGGTGGGGCCCGAGGTATCTTTAGTTGCATCACGTGGGATCTAGCTCCCTGACCAGGGATGGAACCTGGGCCCCCTGCATTGGGTATGCAGTGTCTTAGCCACTAGACCACCAG